CTCCCATGATTTCAGATCCTCAACGCTGCGCTATACGCAGGAGAGTTCGAATTTTACCGATTATGGTACCAAGATTAAGGAGCCCACATCGCCTTTACTCGTAGAACATTCTGATACAACTAAAGGACCTTAATTAATTAACTACTTTGTCTTGCGGTATAGAACCCGTAAGCTACACTACCCTTCTCCTTAAAATCAAAAATGCAAATGTCTTCTTGTTTTAATTTCTCCTGTGCTAAGTTCAAAGGATAGTGGGAACAATGAGCTCATGTCATACAAGGAGAGACATCAATTCAACATTGAATGAGCTGAATATCAAGGAAACTCTGCAAATTTCCGGCGGATGAAGGAAATTGGGACAGCGAAGAAACAAGAAGGGAGAGCAATTAGATGCGGATTTGCATATTAACATTTTTAAAAAGTTGTTAGTGCTTGCTACCACAGAAAACGCATGGGCAATGGAGCTCAAGAAAACGTTAAGCGAATGTATCTGCAAAAAAATTAAATTACAATGGATCAAGATTGAGCAGTGGTCAGTGCTGTGACTGCTTTATGGAGGCTTATATAGAGTGAGAGCAGGGTATCCAGCCCATACCCAAGACCGAAATCTCTGAATTAATCCTATCACAACAGGAATTCTTACAAATAAGTAAAAACATGAGGACGCTAACACGATATTGCAAAGAATGAGTGGGTTGTCGGACGAGACCATACTTTTTTGTACTCAATAATATCTTAAAAGCCTTGACACTATGACACTATATACTGAATGTGAAAGGAGAATGAGCGCCTTAGATAGTTTATTTGGATTATTCAATCTATTATAATAGTTGACAAAGGAGTCACTAGAAGTTAATATTATGAAGATAGGACAATAGCTAAGTGCCGGCGGTAGCTCTTCGACAAAACACAAAAAACATGCGAATTCACGTGCTTTTCGTGTTTATTTGTATCATGAGTGTTTTAGCAGCTAAATTTTATTTTACATAAATGGATTTGCAATTGAAAGCTCTATCCAAGCACACCAATATTTTTCCGATTAATTACGTTGTAGAAAGTTGCTTCGAAAAGCCCCTAGAGCTATAGTTTAGCGAGCGAGGCATCGCTAGTTATCCCCAGCGGCATCCTAAGATCAAATTGAAG